CCCCCCTCCCCATAGCCGACTGGGTAACTGGATAAAAAAGTGAAGAAAGCTGGGACCTCTCGAAATCAAGGTCAAATCCGATACATTTTTGAGGTTTTTCATCGGGAGCCTGTATCGCGCCCTGTGTCCCGATCTTCTTCTTACAAAGACTTTCCTCTACACCACTTTATTTTCCAACTCTCCTCTTCTTCTCCTCGACTATTTCTCAAATTTTCCCGCCTTATTCACAGTTCCACACGGCCCCAAGCTTCGCTTTGTTCTCCAAAATTTTCCGAAAACTCCACATCTGTTCTAATTGTGTAACTTCCGATACCACCTTCTTTCACAGACACAACGTAGATGCACTCCAGATCGCAATGCGCCAAGCGCCACAGCATTTAACAGTAATCCAATGGTTTACATGGAATGCCACATAGCCCGTGCCGGCAATAAAGTACACTTAAACGACCACACACAAGTTGCATCTCTGAGCTGACCGTACATAGTTCACCACATTACTGTGAACAGAACACATGCCAGAGAAGGCCGCCTATACCACACCAAAGCTTCCACCATCGCACCTGAGGCAAAAACAAATTCACTTATTTTCCTGTCCTGGTTGGTTTACAGAGCACAGGACCACCCAGACAGGAAAATAAGTGAATCTATTCTTATAAAAAGTCGGCGACCAAATCTTAACACACAGGGCTCATCCATGGCCGATTATGCGAACGTGATATGTGTCTCTATGTGTGATGCGTGCTAGCTTAAAATCGTTTACATGTGTTAGTGATACCTGATGCGTACGTGACCCGCGATGTCTGTTCAATTGAAATCGTTTGCATGTATAATTGGAGCGCGATGTGTGGTGCTTGTTTACTTCAACTCGCTTGCATGACTGAGTGAAGCGTGATGCGTGATGCCCACTTGCTTGAATTCGTTTGCGTGTATCAGAATACGTATGTTCGTGTATTCTAATTCCTAGATAGGCACTGCATCGCGGTAATGGCCGGCAATCGCTCTTTGTTCAACCCGCTCAATGTTGGTCTCCAGTAAAAACTGTGACTTGCCTTTAAAAAAAAACAACTGAAAAATCGAGTAGAATCACCGGCAGGCAATTTTGAATTCATTTCTGCTATTATTTCGATAAAGGCATGTTACCAAAATATCAGCCCAACTCTATCTTCATTCTCCTGGTTTTTATCTGAGGAATGAGGCTAATACTACTGTCTTATCTATGTGAATAATGTTCCTTGCTAATGTACTGGACAACTTACGTGATTTTCTGCCGTTTGAATAACGAAATAGCATGTTTCCACCTGCATGACACAAACCAACTACGACCGATTCTAGCCGTCTCTATTGTCCTTTCCATACAGAAACTCAACAGCTCGCCGTTGATTTGGACGCACCGAAAGCGTGAAATTGTTGGTTTTGTTGAAATCATGCGCGTGTCCCTATTTCAACCACAGCCTGAAGATGGTTTTCAATTTTATGCAAATGTAGCCGAACACAAATTCGTGTCCGAACATCAGTATGCACTGCCCTTTTGAACCGCGCTTCAATATGCCTTCCGCGCAGAAGGTGTCCAAAGGCTGTACTTAACACGTGATTATCAGCAGCTCCGTTTTTAACAGCAGAATTTAATCCAAGCTATTCAAAATATAATTTGATCGTTAATGGTAATCCTCCACCTTTCCAGGATGGCCCATAGCAAGAGCTCTGACTGCATTCGGATTTCACTGGCCGATCCAGGACTCTAACCTCTCGGCACACTGTTACGCAGGCGGGGACTCCTTAAAAAGGGTCACGTATAAGGCTGACCCACTTTTGAAAGCAAATGAGGTATTCCATCGTAACCAGGTGGCCTTTGAGAGGGAAATGGGCCTTTGCAGCTAAAAGGACCGCGAGTATCCAGAGGGGCACTGCGGATATAAAGATCGCTGGGCTCCTTATAAGGTCCTGAGCGGATCACGGGCCCTGAGAGCTCAGAGATGATCTCAGTAGCCAGAGGACTTTTCATTTGCCGGAGGGCAGTTCCTCAGCAGCCTGGTGCACCCCTAAGCACTTTTTGGTCCTCAAAAAATGTGTTTAAAAGGCGCGTTTAGTTCTAGATATATGCTCTGGCGACCAAATGGATCACTGAGAGGCCAGTGAGCCATCAACAGCCAAACGAGCACTTCGATGGCCGGAAGGGCCCCCAAGCGATCAAAGTTCCCCTTCGTGACCAAGGGGTTTGTGAGGCCAATTAAGTCCTCAACCTGTCAGAGGGTGACTGCACCCAAGAGGCTCCTCAGCAGCCAGAGGGACCCCTCAGCGGCCAGAAGGGTCCTGATCAGCTAAAACGGCTCGCGAGCGACCAGGGGGGGCCCTGAGTATGCAGAATACCGAGGGGCCAGTGCGGTCCATGGACGGATGCTGCCATTGGGGCTATACGACGCACGGAGGTTGAAAGCAACTGAGGTGTTCGATCGTAACCAAATGGCCTTTGAGAGGGGAAGTGGGCCTTTGCAGCTAAAAGGACCGCAAGTAGTCCAGAGGGGCGTGCGGGTATAAAGGTTGCGGACGCACTAGTTCAGTGTTTCTGAAGCTGTATGATGCCACCGGTAACTCACTTGAAGAGACTTTTGAATCGTAGGATGGACCCTAAGTAACTATTAAGTCCCTAAAGCGGCCCGGATGCCCACGGTGGCTCGCTGTGGCCCACTTATCCGTAACAGGGGCCTCAGGGTGGCCAAATGGGACCTGGCGAGTGGGCAGAGGCATGGGCTCCACTCATTCAATACGAACGTCTTTCTTCACGCTGCACGCGGCAAAAACTGCCCTGTGTACAGCTCAACAAAACCCCAAGCTGTGCGTCTTACGGAGTCGGGGAAAAATGGACCCCCATCCCCACGCCCCACAAGATCTCTAGCCATGGACGTCAGTCGTGGGGATGGCTCGAATGACTCGTTCAGTGGAGACCTTGAGGAGCCAGAAAGACATGTCAGGGGCTGGAGAATTGCTTGGAGCCTGCAAAAACAATCCCTGAATGGCTAGACAGGCCCTTTAAGAGCAAGGTCCGTGAGCAGCAAGACGGGCACCGAGCTGGCAGGCAGCCTTGGACATTTACTGAACTCCTGAGTGTTCAGTGTGCCCTTGACCGGTGATGGTATCCAGCGATCAGCCAGAAGGGTCTCAGGCGATGCAAGGGAAGCTCAAAGTGTCTAGAGGTTTTTGAAGATGACTTAATCGCTCCGGCGACGAATCCCCTAAGAGCCAGAAGAGTACTAAGGTGATCAAAAGGACCCACTGCAATCGCCTCAGCTTACCCCCGCCAGCTACCATTTCAACAAGTCTTCATGTTGCTTATCCAAAAGGTTGTCACGCAACAGCTGCCACAAACAGGGAAATTAAATTTAAGTTTGTTATTAGCTTCTCGTCAGCCTACCTGTTGTTTCTGAACATGCTAAGCCTCGCCCCGATATGGGGAGCCAGCGCTCCCCCCTAAGGCTTCTGAGGCTACAAGTCCAGCATGCCGTGCAGTCGCGCCAAACAAATTTTCTATCTAGTTAGGATCACTGAGGGCTCGCTGGAAAAAACAGCGAATGGGCCGACCGGCCGGGCCATAGCAAATGCTGAATTGTCGCCGACCCGTGGCCGGATCGAACGACTGATTGAAAATCAGGGAATATTTTTGTTACCGGGTTAGAATGGAGCGTACGAAAGATACCCGGTGTCGTAAGGTACGATACAGGGTCTTTTCGGCAAGATTTGCTGATGTTATGGGACCAAATGCACTACCAATGGAGCTCATTTGACAGGTTGTTCAACGCCCGCTTGCAATGTTTGTCGTCGCCGTCACCAAAACTTCCGGTCAAAAGTATTGTTGGCACCAAACGTCGCGGGAAAGTGGACCTTTCTGTCGCCGGCCCTATCACCAAGTCGACACGTTTTTCACCCCCGGCTAAAGGCATAGTTCATGTGGCCTTCCGATGGCATGCACAAGAGCACGATTAGCAAGTACGTTCACAAGTACGTTCCTCTTGTGTATTCCAACCCAGCTAAAACACACGCATGGTCACTCTAGCACGTAACACCGCTGCACCAGGTGCGCAAATATATACATACCGTCTTAAGAGTAAACGCGTTCAGTGCAACATGCCATCAGCCCCGATTGTGAAAGAAAAAGACGAGAAATCTGGTGTACACAATTTGGTGGGAAATCGATGCCCGCAAACTTTAAAGAGGTCATTTGGCCATGTTGCATACAAAACGATCGATTAAATAAACACAAGGCACTCGACGGAAACCAGACGTTTTCAAACGAACCCCGGACAGCACCAGACGCACGGTGGGAGAAATGACAGGGAGCTGTCGGTCGCAGACAGTCCCCCAAAAAACACGCGGACCAGGGCAGCAAAACAAGCACAAAGCAAGAGCGACGGGCGCCCGCAGCGTGGCAATCGTTCGGCCGTCGTGTTGCGTTCCGTGGCTAAGGCCGGTCTGTACGAGGACCGGGACGAGACACGGGTCGTGTCGGGCCCTGTTGTTGGTGCCGCCGGGCGCCGCGGAGGGCGGTCAGAGGTCGAGCGTCCACCTCCAGCCGACCGAGGTCGACTGAAGACACCGCACGAGCACCGCGGCACCGGCTGCGCGCGAGTCCGGCCGCCGTCGCACGCCACACACCCACCGGTGATGCGAGACAGTGTTTGCTGATGCGAGTTAAAAAACGGAACCACACATCTCACGCACGCCCATGACTGACGTGTTCGAGTCCTTCAGACACTGTCACAGGGGTGAACAGAAGGCAAGACAGGTAATACCTTGGAACGCTTCCCACTCATAAGCTGAGCTATACGTCCGCAACCTCGCACAGCCGCTCTCACACACTGCTAACAATATGGGATATGGGGGCATAAACATTAATCTCCCTCTGCAGAATGTCTACCAAGCTCTAACGCTACACGAATAATGGTATGTACATGAGACACAGCCCGAGACTCCTTCGCAGTCGACGTGGTGACTGACGGTGCGCGCGATCATGTTTCGTTGCCGTACTTCTTCTGTAACGCCTCCCGCGTCTTGTTCAGCAGGCGGTTCTCCTCCTGCAGGTGCAACAGCTGGTTCTGCAGGTTCGTCACCCACACCTCGGGGTCGTACAGGGTGAGCTGCGCCTCAAGCTCGCGCACGCGTGTCTCCAACGAGCGCACGCACTCGACCAGTTCGGGTCGCTCCAGCTGACTGAGCTCCTCCTCACGCGCGTGGCGGTACACGTTTTCAAAATCCTTCATTGAGAACTGGTAGGCGGCCTCCTCCTCGTCCTCGTCGTCTGCCGTCGACGACTCCAGCTGCGAGCCGCCGTCCGACGGGCCGTTGGGCGTGCGCCGTGCCACCGCGTCGAAATCGATGTAGAATGCCGAGTTCTCGTGGTCGTCGATGATGAACGATGTGGAATTGAGCGGCGCGCGCGGCACCTCCAGCGGCCGAAGGATTGGCGCCGGCTGCCGGCCCGAGCGCCGCCGCCGCTGGCGCCGGTTCAGGCGCGGCTTCTTATGGGGAACAGCCGGCGTGGCCTGCTCGTCGCCAGCCGGCGCAGCAACGGCCTCGTCGCCTGGCCGCGCAATGGTGGCGCCATCTTTTCCCGACGCGCCGGCACTCGTGCCGCCATCTGTTGGACCGTGGCGCTGCTTCTTCTTACCGCGGCGCGTCTTCTTGCGTTTGGTCGGCGCGCCGGTATCACAGCGCAGGGCGCTGCTCAGGTCCCCTGTCTTGCTCGACTCGATCAGCAGACTAAAGTCCTTGTCCTCGTCGGGCGCATCTAGCGCCAGGAAGTCGTCGCCGTCGGCCGGCACGCTGCTGGGGGTGCCCGTCACCACGACGTCGGCCGCCGGGGAGGTCGCCATCTCACATCTGCAGCGGACAGCGCAAATTCGGACCTGAAACGGAGGGGCGAGGTCATCAACAGAGATCAGGACAGCACAACATTTCGGTCCACAGAATACATTTAGTGCAATATTCTAGTGATGATCCCGATGCATAGTTTAGAGGATACGGGCCGGGCCGTTAAGTTGTGCCGCACGTACGAGATAAGAGAATTGTTTGATGACTCCGGGGAAGTGCCTGTCAGCATCAAGCGAGAAGCGTATCTTAAGTCGGCGTCACAGCCTTCCACACGACGTGCTTCGTGATCGCTGAATTTGATTTCAAGGACATTTAAGAGGTTAACCATATCAGAAATTGCCGAGACCTTAGAAACCCTGGTCGACAGACCGCAAATAAAGACTTTCGTAATTTGTCAGAGTCGGCAGGGCGCGACATTCCCTTGGCCTGGTCGTAAGCATGCCTGGTCTCACGGCACGACAATGTTCCTCCATTAGCTGTATGCTTAAGGGGTGAGATGATCCGGCTCTGGGCCACACCGGTCCCCGTGGTGGGGATGAGGAAAGGGGGGCAGATAAGGGTGGAGGTTAGTTCCAACCCATCTGCGACCTCTATCTTCATGTCAAAGCCAAAAACTCCATTACGGCCCCTGGGAAGTGTTACTTGCCCTCTTATCTTAGTCGTTTCACGCGTTTCGGGGGCAAATTGCGGCGGTCTGCTGTAGTAGCCAATACCTGTTGTGGTAACCAACTCACCTCACAAGTGAGTGGTGAGTGTTAACATGCGCTCGGGTGAGGGGTCAAGTTGATCCCCACCCCGAAGGTCTTTCCAGAATGGTTTGCGACGGCACAGCGTAGCCGCGCCAAATTTTGCATAGCTGTAGAATAGCGGATCGTTTGATATAAAAAATCAGATGTACCTTGTAAGGTTGCTGGCCTACGGCAGGTCAAAGTTCGACCATGGTTTCAGCGAAGGCAATTTCTAGGAGAATCGTTCAATCTGATGCAACAACGGAGTGTTTGACGAAGCCATACATCTCTGAGATGCTTTATTAGGCACCACAGATATTGAGTGAGCAAATTAAGTTGACCTAAGGTCGGGTACGAAGGCCAGACCAAGGTCAAAACCAACCTGATTTATTACTCTAGGGCTTACTGTATGGGCCAGTTTCTGGTGGTCATTTCGAATTTATTGATGCAAGAACCGCATTATACATCTTCCATTGATTTCGTAGAGGTCGGAACAGGTCACTGACCTAAGGTGGCCCGGGTCGACATTTCGTTTTCGGAACATACCGCCTAGCGTAATCTTTGTCGCTTATTCAAATGCAAAACTCAGAGCAGTCTTGCATGATTTTAATCACCATGACCTTGAAAAGGTCAAACAAGGTTGTTTACCCCAAATGGGCTTGTAGCCTTTTGCTTAGAAACAGTTGCCTAGGTTCTGGGGGCATTTTGGAGACCAACCTGGAATTTGACCTTACTTGACCATATTTGACCTGAAGGGCATGACCTGAGATGCTCATACTTTGACCTAAGTGAGTTCAAGTACAGGCCAACACACCCTGTAAAGTTGGTGTCTCTAGCTTTCTTTTCTTCGTTCCCCAGATCTCATGGGGGTCAATTGACTCCCCACACACACCCGAACGAAGGGTATCTAGCTGGCCACCCGGGCGCGTGTTAAATGCATCATTCATGACTACGACATGCTACGCCACCTACAACGAAAAATCAGCGACCCATTGTATTGCGCGAGAGGAATTCGTGTTCAAGCAGCCATGTAAGCTGTCATCGGACAGCGTTTTTCCCGCAACATAGCAGTACCACAATTTCACGTAACCATTCGATCAGAATACTAAACGTTTTGTGGACCGCAAAAATTTGGAGAAAAAGGGTCTAAATCCGACCAGATTTCCACGGCCAGGCGTCGCGGCGACATGCAAAAAACACGGCTAACTGATGACAAAACTGGCAATAGTACGGACAAAGCATGACTTGATATGTGTCCGCTGCATGGCGAGATTGTCCTCAAGCCATGTCATGTCATGTCAGTGGGGCTTTACGAAGCACTCAGCTGCTGAGGCTATATGGCGTCGCCAGCCTCTCACCCTGGCAGGAAGGGCGAGTGCCACGGGGAATCGAACCCCGCACCTCTGATTTCCGAGACGCGCAGTGTTAACGCAGACGCGTTAGCCACCACACTACCGGCACTTCTTTGTTTTTTTTTTTCAAGTATCCGTCTGAAACCCCGGCAACCTTTGCTTTATCCCAATTCCCATCGTCAATCTCGGGCTGTTTCGAGCGGTGTCGGCTCGCTACATCTGCCGCGCGTCCGACTGACCGCTACCCGGTCATTTTCCGTATTGCGCCGCCGCGGCGCGGAACCGGCTGCCTGCGGCGGCCGTCCGCGTCCCCTCGCGCCGGGCGTTCTTGACTTTTAAATCGCTGACGCAATGACTGAAACTGCTTTCACCTGTGCGTATGTATGCTTCTCCGTGTGCCGTGTGTGTTCTTTTTCTTGTACAACCAGGCGCAGAGCGACCACCATGTGGATGTGTCTTCAACAAAATGACTGTAAATGTAAATGCGAACTAGGGCATGCACCGATGTGAAACCATCCGCACGGTGAAGGTGAATCAGCCGTCTACAGTTCGGTAAGCATCTTAACACCCTCCGACCTATAGGTCTCCTACAAAGCAGGCCTGGAAGGGACCAATGTTACTTTTTCCGGAACCGGTCTCGAAAAAAATGACACAGGCGTGTAGACCAGTTCACCACGACGATGTTCATCCGAAACATTCACGTTTCCACCAATACTTTTGTCGGTCACTGAGAGCACAAACCTTCAAAATTCATCGATTTCGTCGATAAACATTGCCCGCGCTTGGCGGGCCGTAGTTCTAGGGCATTGGGAGGGCCCAACATTCAACAACAATGTCATTGCCTGTCCACATTCAAACGTCATTTCTAAATGTGTGCGCGAGCTGCCAACGCCCAACGTCTGCACACCTCAACATGGTAAACCCATAAGAGGAAGCTCCTTTCAAGGGATAAGGGTTTTCCTCATGGGTTCTCAAAGATGCCGGCCGCATTCAGCTATGTTTTGGCATCTACGCAGTGATAACACATAGATGTTTCATCGCCTTGCTCGCCCTTCGCAACAAGTGCCTTGCTGGTCTTACGGCAGGCAACATTAAACATTGCTAGAATCGACCACGTTGAAGGAAGTTGAAAGCAATGGGAAGCATCAAGACGTCACAAAAGACCCAAACACACGGTTTTTTGGTCCGACATCGCGGGATGGAATACGACTGTCAGTTTCCTGAGCTCAACAAAGCTACAAATAATCACTTAGACGCTGTAAGTTGTAAAGCTTTGAAAGCCGGTTGCGAATAAGAACCAACGCAAACAGCAGTTGCAAATGTAATGAAACTGCATGGGATAACATTTAATAATTTTTTGTCATGAACTGCTGTAAAAAGCAGGACGGTAGACGGTAGAGCACCGAGGGCAAGAACTTCTTTACGGCTCAAGACGTGTTTAGTCTGATGAGCAGCACATTATTTTCGTCCTCCTAAATTGACAGCCACATACACGGTACCGAGGCCACCAGCCATGCCCACCACGGTGACTTTTACAAGGTGGAGTGCGCGCAAACACCGCATGAAAGTTCAACGCGAGCGGCTGGGGCGGGCTTAAAACTGATTTCATTTGAAAACACATCCGTTTCTGCAATTTGTTGTCTTTTACGGTCGTTTTGAGGTATTTTTGGGATTTGAACGAAAGTGGGACAAACATAGGGGTAGAGATCCCTGGTAAAAGGAAGCTCCGCGCCATCCCGCCGCGTAATAATGGGAGGAGGTGGCTCCGACCACTTGCAGCAGTGAGGGGCCGGTCACCGTCGCCAGAACTTTTCAAAACAATAATAATAACAATAGTAAGGAGGACGATGATAATAATGATTGTTATTATGATAATAATGATAGTAATAATAATAATAATGCGGAGGTTCATCCCCAGGGAGGGCCTACGGGGCGCCGTGGCACGACGAAACGAGGACAGCCCTGTGTAATAACAGCAAAAACAGCGAAGTCACGGCAGCCTGTGACAGGAACCAATTTATAATCCTCGTCCAAAACGGTGCCAGACATCACCAATATTCGGACAGGCTTCGGGAAAATAGGAACCTAAAATGGCCCAACAGTATGGTGCAATAAACGACCAAAACCACCACTCCAAAGTCCAAACAACGCCAATGCGGATAAAAATAATTATTTTTGGAAGAAAAAACACGACTTGCCAAGACGCCAGAGACCAGGACAAGATCGTAGAAATGGGTGGTGGACAGTCTCGTAAACTGTGATCACGTGTTTTTCGTAGTTATGCCTGATACGCAGGATACACATGCATATTGCAAGGCGATTTTATTATATATATATATATATATATATATATATATACAAACATATATTCCTGTTCAAGCCCGACCTAAAACTTTCCGTGATCCTGTGTCCGGAGGATCACGGACCACCACCCACCATTACCACCAGGCATCGCTGCCAAACGACTCTGACATCCAAACAACGCGGCTGGTCGAACCTGAATGAATCGAACATGGAAAATACACCTTCATCGTGTCTTCCAAATTTCAGTTTTGGGTCGCTGCCAACGCTACGTATTATCCCTGGGACACTTGACTACGCGTCGAATCGATGAGGAGCGTTGAGCCGTCTTTTGTCGCGTGCCGTCCTGGCCAGCTGGTGGCCACAGCCGCCCATTCGTGACTGGCGTAATTCAATTCGCACGGAAAAAGCGGCATCGTATCAAGGCCAATCAAGGGCTCTAACCAACAGATATTCATGCCTCATTAGACAGGTAGCTGTAAGCGGGTGTGGACACATGGTCCGCAGGATTAGCACAATCTCTAAATCAGTGTGAAGCCCCAAATTTGTCATGGCAACCCGCCTTTTACGCTCGGATACTGTAAGAGATATGGTACAGGGTTGACATCGCAAAGCAACATTTGTAGTATTGTGAAGAAAGGCAAGAGCCCAGGGACATTGGTCTGTATTCTTTTGAGATGGTTGCCATCCCCTCACCCAGCGTTAATTGCCCCCCAGTCCCCCAACGTTGGCTTTCCCACACTTTTGTTTTGCTGGGATATTTCAAAAGGGAAGGAAATAGAAAATTACGCCAGGGTTATTCGGATGAGGGGCCTATAAAGAGCATCAAATAATACCTGTGACCATGACTACTACGTTGCTCAATAAAGGACGGCCACTCCATGACCATTTGCAAGCCAGCCCTTGGTATAGTTTCCGGTTAGAATATGCCCTAGCCGCCAGATTAAACATGAAGAAATACTCAACTTCTACTAAAAATCAGTGATACACGTACTGCTATTTGATGCATTATTGATGCACCTATACGGTTACTTGATTTAACTGATGCATTACACAAAGAAGAAACCTAACAATTGTTCGCGTTCGAAACAAAGTGGGGAACGTCTGTTGAGAAGCACACGTTTGATGGAAATTAGGCTGCGAAGCCCTCAGATTGAGCGGCACCAAAGAAATGGACACACGAGAGAAATTTTGAATAAAGACCAGGCGACCGCGAGATGACAGGCAGAAGGGCATTTTTGGCAATGGCATGTTCCGCGCCACAAACACGCCGCTCACGTTACAGAAGTGGTGCGGCTTGTGCACAAGGACATGCTACGTTTTTGCACATTGCGCAGCAGAACACATCCATATATCGTTTTCACCGCACGCGCGCAGCACCTGAATGCTGGCAGAGCACGCACAGCACCCCTCGTCTTTACCATGAAGATCGCCGTAGGCAATCCGCCAGGGTCGGTCCCAGATTCTCAGAACCGACTCGGCCTCTCAGAGCCGACTCGGCCCCTCAGGCCTCTGAGTCGGACACATAACAAGCTCCAGCAATGCTACGGCAATGTTGCTAACAGACACCTCGTCAGCGGCCGGAGCAGCGCGGCCACACGGCCGCTGCCATCAGCGCCATCTACTGACCAGCTCACATAAGTCAGGCAGGCACTGATGCGGAGCCGCGCTGCCGATGGAGAAACCTACTTAATCTAGAAGTGATAAAACATGTTACGTATAATCAAGACGTGATAAAAGTGCAAACGTAAACGAACGACGCTAACCCTGTGATCACTGGGATGAAACAGAAAACAGGTTGTCCGCTGGTCCTAGGGTTAAGTCGTACGGGGGGCGGTCCGTTTGGCCCAACCGTGCGCTCATCGCCCCTCTGGCGGCTGACCAGAGAGGAAGCTGGCACGGCATGGCCGAGTCACACCAGCGCATGATGCAAACATGATGCAAACATGATGCAAACATGCAAACATGATGCATGTGTACGTAACAGCAAGATCACTGGCACCATGCGCACGTGCCTGGCAGCGGTGCTTCAGATAACACCACGCTACTTCACAGCGGTCTTATCTAAAAAAGATGGAAAAACAACCCTTAAGACAGGCGACAAAAGACCCGGGGTGGAGGCGGGGGCGGGGGCGGGAGCGGTGGGGGGGGGGGGGGGGGGGGGGAGGGGGAGGCAAGACCCATTCGGAAATCACGGAGAGTGCAACTTATGACGGCAGTAAATGAGGAGCAACATACCATTTAAAACCAGAACATTTCACAAAGATCTGCGGCAATGCAAAGAAGGAACTTACAGAAAAGACCCGTCGTGCGCTGTTATGCAGCGAGCATCAGGTTATCTACTCTGCGAGCGGACTTATCGCGGCTGGCCCAAATCTTCACTTCCCTTTTGGAAGCGCTGGTTTCCAAGTTTGCATCCAGAAGTCCCTTAGAAATGCCTTGCGCCTAGCAGGGGCGTAGTGCCTTAAATGAGGTGTGTGGGGGGGGGGGGGGGGCGTGCCAAATCACAAACACATCCCCAAAATACACCAACACACCGGTTTTCACACGGATTTGGCCCACTTATATCTCAAAGGTTGGGGGGGGGGGGGGGGGCTGGAGCGCAAGTTGAAGGGAGCCCCCCTCCCCCCCCCAACTGAAAAAGAAACTATACCTACCCTTGGCAGGCAGAATGGCACGGTGCACATAAATTCTGAAGCCCCCAAACCCTAACCCTCCCAAAATTGAACAGAAACTATGCCAACCCCTGGCACACAGACACGGCACATACAAATTCTGCAGCCCCCTAAACTCAACAGGAAAATACGCCCCTTGCACCTCGCTTGTCACATTTCATCACACAGAAAATCGTGGCGCGGTCTACGCACATTTAAAAAGGTCTTACATCTAAGGGGACGTCCATACATCGTGCCAGATTAAGAGGGGCTAACGCTACGCTCATCAGTGACTGCGGCTCATGTAAATTAAAAAACAAACGAACTAAAGCTGTTGATACCGCTGGCTTATCCTCAGTACAAACAGCACGCCCGTATTTTTTCGCAGCTTTAGCTCACTAGGCCAAACAGCCGGTACCTATTTCGGGCATTAATCTTGGCCACAGATCCATGCAGGAATTCACGGCAGAATCCGGCGTAACCCGAAAAGTTGATTGAACTGAAATCCCAATATAGGGCGACGGGGGCGCAAAATTTCTTCCATGACGTAAACGGCGTTGTATGCTCTATGTTTGGTAAGGTTTACGTGTCTTTCCCGGATATGCCATCGCCAACATATATCCACGCTATCTCAATACGTGAAATAAATTTGATAAGACCGCGGGGAGCGCGTGGCCGGGCCACAACCTGAATACGCTATTGAACTTGCGGCGTAACTATGGGGAGGGAATTTGCCCGTCTTAACCACTGGGAAATTGCTAACAATGTATGCCGCAATTCATCGAGGTCCCCAATTATTATATATACATGGTACTGCGCGAACCAAGGCTCCCAAATACTGCCTGGAGGCTCCAACAAATTTCGAGCCGTATAATTCCATTATTTCATGTATCACCATCAGCCAGACGTAAACAAATCCGAAATCATGGGGACAACCGCTGGCATACAAAAGGCCTCTGAAGCGATGTTCTCGCCACTAGCTGTGTTCAGGTGCATGTGTTTGTCAAGGCGATACATTCGGGAATACGGTGACGACACATATTACCCCAATTTTTTATAGGACACTGGGCTGACACGCTCACGCTTTTTCTGGGTTACGCGCGATTGTTAAGCCGCAGCATGCGATCCCCAAGTTTCAATCCGCAATCCTCAATGCATCACGGGTGGCCCGCCACCACACATGGGGACGCGTCTTCGAGCGACCTTCGTATCCTTCGCTGACAAAAGGGCGGCGACCAGCGTGCCACGGAAAAAACAAGTATGGCGCAGATGGCGGATCGATGCCGAAAGAAAATGCACTCTATCTTCACATCACCAGCCTCTACACCACCTATTATCAAAACCAAAGCAAGACACTTACCTTATGTAGTAGTTAAACCACAAATACTGAGATAACTTGCGCTATTCCTCGCTAAACAAGCGCGATTCTACTGCGACGCGCCGGAGCCCCCACCACGATCAGCTGATTTTAGGCTGCGTTGTGACCGTCGTACGAGGGTCGTCGAAAAGACGTATCAATGGCTGGCGATCTCCGCGGCGTGACGCAAATATCCTACAAAATTAGAAATGATTGGATAATATTGTGTTTTTAGTCATAAAGCACATAACAGCTGTGTTTTACTTACTTTTATCTTCTCGGGGTTCACATTCAATGCAACGGAAATTCAAAGCTGGACGGAATCGCCGACCGCCTCCTCAAGCCCGAACAACTCAAATTCTTGTAACTTGTGCTGAATGGCCTGCACCACACATCAAACTGTGGATGATAATCTCACTGGTACCGCACATGGCGCATCTATCCGGTCCAACCGGTCACGGCCAAGTTTTCAATGCCTACTGCGTGACTAATCCGACCAGGTTTGTGCACGTATAATGTAATTAATCGGCGCCACATGGCATGAAAGGCGCGGTGCTCCATCTGAAACTTTGCTGCGTTTCCAATAAGCGCAAACAATAACATCCAGAAGATTGCTACAGTGTACTCTGCTTCTGTTCTGTTCCGTATCTGTTTCAAAGGCGTATCTCTTTTTCAAGAACGTCACAAAAACACGCAGTAAAATATAACAAAAAAAACTCAGTCGTGGTACTGCAAACACCGATCAATTCCCAAGTCAAATCCCCACCACTTTGACCTGTCTGTACTCCTTGCTTCGTTCCTCACAACATGCGCGGATGGTGCACATTTCCAGGATCCTCCAAGTAGCATATCTGCAAGCTCGTTGGCAGACTGTGCCGAAAACCCGCCCAACCCGTGCAATTCTCAGACCTCTCGGTTCCAGGCGCCGCGCCACGGCAGGGTCACCCAAGCAGGCCACCCTCACCCTTGACATCTTACGCGGAAAGTGCCAGCACACCCGAAACAAGACATCCTGCGATGATTGGAAAAAAACGCAATCACAGACAATAACTGCACAAGTAGCCTTTCCAATTCGAACAGGTGCAAGCTGGCAGGACTAGCAGGATGCTAGGATGCATTCTACGATTGACGAAATATTAAGAAGGGGCTACAAATAAGTTTTACGCCGTACCTCTAAGCCCACAAGCGCTTTTTTTACTTTGACTTTTTATCTTCGTCGCTTGGGCATGCGTAAATTTACGCAGCGCTTCGTTACCTGCTCTCGCCCACACGTTTGATCTGTTGGTTGCCGGTTGTTCAAACGTGTCTTCCTATACGTGAGACACTTCCCCCGCCAAAGCAGCATGTTTCAAACAGGTGTTTGCGGTTGTCACGCACACGCATTTCTACGCAATGCCACCATTAAGGACAGCACATTCACTGTATGGTAAGCCTACTTCACATAAAGCAGGATTTTCTCGTGAGTGGCCCAAGAGCCTTCGCCGATAACACCAGTCTCCGCGCCCCATTCCGCTGCCGCCTCTCAACACATCAAGACCACTTTGGCATCATGTGCGTTTGTATGTATTGCACCACACATGCTGTCCGTACCACCCCACTAACAACCGAAAATGCCGGAACCCGCACTGTAGTTATCAGGATAAGATCATGCCAACTAAACGCCACCATACTAACAAAACCTCCAACATAAATGCAGACCTTTTCATGGGGTTATGTCAGGACACGAGTACAAGTATATGACGGGCGACACTGGCTCTGTTGCTTGGGACTCTATCGCCCGAGTTCGACGAGACGCAGCCGTATTTACGAGCTGATGTACGAAACCGCGACATATTTCGGCCCCGCTGGTAACGGTAGGGGCACCCATGCACATTTCAGAGACGCCACCACGCGACTTACAACAAATTTAAGTGAACGTCTCTGCAAGGGGCGCCTAACCGACCAGCTTTCTGTGGTTATTGCTGCCATGGATCTGTGTGTACGGGCCTGCAAAGCCTTCTTCAACTACCATCCGAAGCCTCCCCTCCTCCCCCTCAGAAGCGCAACAACTCGCGAAACGTCTCCCGAGCGACGCGCGGCACACATCCGATGCTGCAGTCAAAGGAGCACTGGCGCTACAGAACACTACGCCACGACCGATCGCACTAATGAGCGCCCGCATCTCACTGAGGTACGGATGAGCTCGGAAGACTTCGTCGGCGCACAACTCGCTCGGAACAAACTCATTTTGACTAGCGATTTTACATGACCTAACGAGCGGCTGCGTTGAAACACAGAACTAACACAAACGCTGTTATGAGCCTTCAGGAAGGCCTCTCCCATTCGAACGCAATGCCATACTGGGCGTCTTTCCTCCCAACATTCGGTACCTTAACAATGCAAGATACCACGAGCGGTTACCATCTGACACACCCACGCCTCTACAGAGATTTCTCCACTGCACAGCTCGCGATGGCTCACACCCCCTTAACCTTCCAGTGGTGTTTGGGTGCACGCGCGGATGGCCGCGCGGGAGTACTGGCAGTTGAATGGTCGACGAGAACAAGATATTGCACCGCCCCTGAGCACGTACGTTGCGTGGGCCCCAATCGCGCCGCCTTCCGGACCACCGCTCTGACGCAACAGCCAGAGTGAATACGCCAGTTGCACCGTTCGCGAGGTGCCTCATCTCACAGATTACAACGAAGTTGCCAGGGCGCGAGCAATTACGTCACTGGCGGCCTCGGGCGCCATTACGGCGATTTCACGAGATCCAATTTTCTCAAATCTGAGCCAGCTCCCAAGTTCAATGCGATAGACTCAGCAGCGCGACCAGCCAACAGAATTTGCATTGAACACAACACATCTGATGTGGCTCTGTTAGCAGTTCTAGCATGTTTAAGACGTAAGCTAGTCTAATCTGGATGCTTCTGACCAGCACTAACGAACGCGAACATGTACAGCCCGATGGCGACCTACGGCCGCACGTACCACTACGTCCCACGCGTACATAATTCCGTCCCACAAAACCGATCTAAGCTCGTCAGCCGTCCGTCCAGCCTGATGTCGCCGGCACCAGCGGCGCTGGCGAACGGTGACCGACCAGAGCAGCCAGCGGCCAGCAGCCAGCGGCCAGCAGCCAGCGGCCAGCGGTCAGCGGCTCCGCTCCTGGCCCGCTGACGGCCCCGGCAGCAGCGGCTCGGCCGTCTACAAGCCTTTGTTGTAGTACACGACTGTAGGCGGGTTCGGCAGCTTATTGATCGCCTCCTGCAACGCACGCGGGCCGTTCGGCAGTTACCAAAACTCAAAAGACAGGTGTGGACGTGACAAGAACAAGTCAAGCCATGACAAGCAAGTCCACTAGAAAATGGACGTCACGAGCAAAAAACACTGCGCTGCAACACTGAAAAAACGGTACAATTTCGGCACAATTTTCTGCTTACAATCGAATCGACACAACAAGATAACTTCAAACAGTGGCGGTCATCCGATGGCAGGCTTCCGTGGTACGGGGTCGTGAGCTCCATCAAACGAGCCCGCCAACTACGGGCACCCATTTCCAAGACGCGGTCTCGGCATCACACGACCCAGTCGCCTCCTCAGAGCATTCAGCGCTCAGCCGCGGCGGCGCCACAGAGCAGCACGTGCCGCCGCTGACCGGGCCGGCCTATCGGCGGTGCTGGCAGCGCTGGAGCGCTCGGCAGGCACCCACCTGGACCTCGGGCTCAAGCCGGGACACGGCCACCGACGAACGCTGCGGGAACAGCGCGCAGCACAGCGGCGTGGCGAACGTCAGGAAGAAGCCGCACAGCAGCACCTGGCGGACAGCAGGTGATGGGGCCGCTCAAACGCGGTGCACGGGGGAACGACGACGACGACAGGTATCCATGACAACCGGAGCATCGATTATCAACTACCTATGGAAAGTACCGCGCCCCTTTCGATTCCTTTGCTGAAGAAGGGCTGCACACATCCATCTGGATGACAGTTCGCCGGTCCGAGTTATAAACGCCGATGCGCATTTTCATGCACCTTGTAAACCCATATTCAATTTGTGCACAACCTTACTCCGCCACTGAGCATTGCTGTCGAGTCCACCAGTAAGCCGCGCCTCCACGTAAAGCCACGACTCAACCGCGATTAACACAGCAACCAACTCCTTGAAGCAAGCCCTGGCCCGGACATTTACAAGCCTAAAAACAAAAACAAAGATGACAATCAGGTACCTAAATGCATATGATCAAAAGCATTGGTTATACACCGGACAGTAAATTCTGATATCCTGCCGGATACAGGATAACCAAATAACAGCAGTTATCGGGTGGATAACAATACCTCAAGACTTTGATACACACATACCTTACAAAAGCACTGTGTATTTCAACACTCACGCGTTGCTCGTGCTCATTGGTGATGATTTCGAGAATATATTTTTTGCATTAAGACATGACGCTAACGCCCTATTCAAATGTTGGTTCACCTGAATTCTCCGATTCATCAACTCCATATTTCGCCATCGAGGTCAGTCTGACAAGAGCCCGTTTCAGTCTGACAAGGGCCCGTTCCAGTCTGACAAGGGCCCGTTCCAGCCTGACAAGGGCCCGTTCCAGTCTGACAAGGGCCCGTTCCAGCCTGACAAGGGCCCGTTCCAGTCTGACAAGGGCCCGTTCCAGTCTGACAAGGGCCCGTTCCAGTCTGACAAGAGCCCGTTCCGTTCCAGTCTGACAAGGGCCCGTTCCAGTCTGACAAGGGCCCGTTCCAGTCTGACAAGAGCCTGTTCCGCTCCAGTCTGACAAGAGCCCGTTCCGTTCCAGTCTGACAAGGGCCCGTTCCAGCCTGACAGGGGCCCGTCCCAGTCTGACAAGGGCCCGTTCCAGTCTGATAACCAGGCACGACTCAGACCAGGCCAGACTACGGCCTGGTCCTCATAAAATACTCGTCTTAATTCGCATCCGATGGTATAAAATATAATACAAAATATAATTTGAATCTAATAGAACGCCTCACTCCGGGTGGACTTTAAAAAAGATACCTGATACCGCCAAAGCTTAGACCACACGGAAACTTGTCCTTTTTATACCCAGCCAGGCTTCTGGTTTGACCCCGTCTTTCAAGTCCACAGTGGTTTGGAAAATCAGAAGCATTCCAAGCCAGATTCCGAACCACATTCCTATATGGCACAGCTAACAAGTCCAACAAGCACGCTTCTGTTAAATTACTCCAGCAGGCACACACCAGTTTATAAATGACCAAATATGACCCAAGTTCGCACCAGTATGATGTCGGCGCACATACGGGGAATGATGCTTGATTAACACGGAAATCATCGAAACTCCTGCAGGGATCAGGGGAGCGTTACATGCAAAGGCGGATCACGACAGGATGACTATCGGGTAGCTTGGTGTCTGATCTCAGCAGAATTCACCAACCACATCAAAGGGTGAGTGGGGTGAACGCTGTTATCCGTAGCACTATTGATTCAGCACGCGCTTCCGCACGTCCCTACTTACATCTTAGAGACATACACGTGACACGTCGAACACCAAATGCAAAAAGGCTGGTGACAAAATATCGGAAGTGCACATTAGCTTGCAAACTACAACCCCGTTTGCCCGTGCACCGGCAAAAACTTGCCATCGATCACACCACCCAGTATTCGCAATATAAAACACCAGGCGTGAACCTAAACAGGGGAAGGGAGGGCAGACCATCACGCATGGCATGCCCTTGTCGGATGAATACCGCCAGAGGCTTTCGCAACGGGCCGCGGGCCGCACGCCCGGGGGTCCGGTCCGGGGCGTACGCCGTACGCCGCCGCGTCGTTCCGGGTGTGCGCGCGGTCAGCGTGCAGCCCCTCGGATCGATACGCACGAGAGCCACCTAATAATGGCCGCTGCACCTTCGAGGCGCAATCATTCGCCGCTCCGTCAACTGCCATTGACATTCCCGTGCGCCCCTACAGATATCAAATAACACGATAATGAAACCAGCCCCACAGTTGGCACGTGCTGTCTCGTGGTGACGCACTCCTACATTCGCAATTTCACCGCCCGTTTCCTATCGTGCCGCAGTGAGTGGAGGGGAATATGGGCGGTGTCCTTACCTGCAGAGGCGCGTTCAAGTACGGATATCGCTTGATGAAGCCGCGCTTCTCCAGGTGATTCATGATGATCGGGCTACCAACTGTAAGGAGGCCAGTGTTTGTCTGACAAGCATGATAGAGAAGCCGAACACCTTGCCCCGCGCCGCGCCAACCTAAATAGATGCGGATATCGCAAATGACACGATATATTGAGACCTTGGTATAAACAAGGACGATATTAAAAAACATGACATTTTGAATTCAACGTAAATTCCTTCAATGCAAGCGGTAACCAAACATAGAACTTCATCCAGAGTTGAACAATCCAACGATTACCGACAGCCGCCGCAAGCCAGATCTCAACACCGGTTACCGTTTATCTACAAGTTCCGGCCAGACCATCTCGACAGGGGCCTGCCGCACCGGACCGCCCCAGCAAGCGGAGCGGTCGGCCGGGCTCCCCGGGCGTGCCGATGGGGAGACGGCGAGCACCACAACACCGACACGGCACGGCGCCGGGCGCCTTCACTCTAACACAGTGTGCATGTCCGCTGAGTGACAAAGCCATCTTCACACACGCGGCACACGGACCGTGACTGATTAAGACGCGTCACTACAGGCAAGGCATGCTTCATACGTAATGATTCTTCTCTGGCCGAAGCACGAACATTTTCGTTCCCGGCGGATTGTGAACAGACCAAACCACTTTCTACGTCACGATTTCAATTAATACGTTCTTGATGATATTACGAGGCGTTTGGGTTTAAACAAAACAGACTACGTAGACACACTCAACAGGTGAACTACGCCCCGCGTTCTTTCAAATACCTATCCACAAACCACTATTCCTGCAAATCCCTCAGTAGTGGTTGAAAAAACGCGGGTATCAGAAAAGAGACAAGGAGGCAGGGAGCTGGCACGTAATAAGTTCAGTTAGAAACCGCCAAATTATATAGACAGGATATATGCAACGCATATGAAAGTATGGTGTTTGCTTAGATGATTTTCCAGAAATTCAGTGTTGCGCGTTTTAATCTTAAGGAAACCGGTATCACTCCGGATACTTTGAGCACTAAACATTGAACATTCAACACATTTTAAGGACATTTTGCACCCTAAAATGCTAAACGTCCCATACGCTCATCGGGTCAACATTTTGAGACGAGACAAAACTACGAACGTGAGGGAACGTTTATAGCGCACGGCGAGCGAATAAGTAAACTCTGAATCTCTGGGTGCGTGGGTTATAAATTTTCGGAAATCAGCGGCACCTTTATGAACAATTAATGATAGCACATGCATGCATTTCTAGCACACTTGCAGACAGAACATTCATGCAGACTTCTTGTGCACAACTACGTCGTGGAATTGACATGCAAGCAAACACAATATTATAGTGCTTTCCGCTCACACCAAGCACATTGGTCCGACTACCTAAGTGAGGTGGCGGGGCGGCAGGGGGTGGTGATGCTTCAGGCAACACGGATCAACAGCAACGCCGAACCATAAGTATCAGACAAGCAACTCGTGGTGCGGGTCGCGGCGGGCCCAACTACCAGACACGCAGACAGCTACGCTACGCATGCGGCCAGGCCACGCATCGCCGGCGGCGGGCCTGGCCGTCCGGCCGGCCGGGCGGCGCGTACCCATGGACGGCACGGCCATGCCTATACGCGACACGATGACCATGGCGATGGCCCAGCGGCCGGTGCGCGGCGAGCGGCCCACGCTATTGCCGTCGGCGTTCAAACAGCTGAATGCCGTCCGCTATCTCTCTGCAGGACAGGCGACGGACGGCGTCAGTGGACCGGGGTCGGGGCGGGGACGCCGGCGGACTCACCCATGCCCGGCGCCGCCATCAGGATGCGGCTGACGGTCACCATGGTGATGGCCTCGCGCGCCGCCGCCCGCGACTGGCCCACCCGGGCGCCGTCGGCGTCCACCAGCGTGATGCCGTCGGTCAGCTCCCTGCCAACGCTGGCGGGTCAGGCACCGCCGGCCGGAGCTGGGGCAGCCGACAGGGGCACGCTCAACGGGTCAGCCGCCTGGGGACGCTCACTGGGTGAGCTGTCTGGGGATGCTCACTGGGTAAGCCGCCCGGGGACGCTCACTGGGTGAGCTGTCTGGGGATGCTCACTGGGTAAGCCGCCCGGGGACGCTCACTGGGTGAGCTGTCTGGGGATGCTCACTGGGTGAGCTGTCTGGGAATGCTCACTGGGTAAGCTGTCTGGGGACACTCACTGGGTGAGCTGTCTGGGAATGCTCACTGGGTAAGCTGCCTGGGGATGCTCACTGGGTGAGCTGTCTGGGAATGCTCACTGGATAAGCTGCCTGGGGATGCTCACTGGGTGAGCTGTCTGGGAATGCTCACTGGGTAAGCTGTCTGGGGATGCTCACTGGGTGAGCTGTCTGGGAATGCTCACTGGGTAAGCTGTCTGGGGATGCTCACTGGGTGAGCTGTCTGGGAGTGCTCACTGGATAAGCTGCCTGGGGACACTCACTGGGTGAGCTGTCTGGGAATGCTCACTGGATAAGCTGCCTGGGGACACTCACTGGGTGAGCTGTCTGGGAATGCTCACTGGGTAGCTGTCTGGGGACACTCACTGGGTGAGTTGTCTGAGAATGCTCACTGGGTGGGTTGTCTGAGTACGCCCACTGGGTAGGCTGTCTGGGGATGCTCAATGAGCCAACCACACTGTCACGCCCATCGGATCAGCGACCTGCGGACACCTGCAGGGTCAAAAACCCGAGGGCGCTTACCAGGTCACTGCTTGGTGACAATCAATGAGTCAGGTACCTGGGATGCTGTGTGGCACTGCCTGGGTTGACCCAAGTAGTCGGGGACTGTCCCTCATTAGGTTATGCATGCTAATAGTCATCAAAGAATGAGTGAGGTTGGTTTGCTAGCTTTGGCTCACCAGCTCTTCCTGATTGCCCACGTAACAGTTATATACAGAACAGAACACAATTAAACACGCACACACACACATCTACACGCACGCACACAAACTAATGAAGATATCAAATAAAGAGCAAAAAGAGCTAACCGGTAATCAACACCATCCATCTGTATTTTCCATGCAAGCGATACTTACTTAGACCTCATCATGGGTATGTTCACACAGTTGGCTGCTGCGACCGCGGCAAACGGTACCAGCTTTCCCACCAGTGGAGGCGCCGTCTGGCAACAAGTCAGACATCTGGTAACACGGCTGGAGATTGTACATCACGCGCTGGAAAAATCTGGATCACTGCAAACTTGCTCCATTATTGCGGAACTTCTTCTCAAAGGGGCGTGTCCCACGTTTGGGGACATATTTGAGAAATACAGTCCAGTGAAACCTCAAGATTAGTCGCATCTAATAACAGCGCTGGCTAACGGTCGCTGCAGCACCATCAAGACATAATAAAGATATGATATTTAGCCGTTTTCTAGCACTCCTCTTCTCTGCAGTCACGACCATCACCGTCATAACGACCGTGCGCACCTCTAGTGGTGTGGATAAAAGAAACGATTGCCATTGGCCCAACGGACGAGGACCCCGTTACCGAGAAGCGCAATGGCTGAAGTTTGAACCAGTGAGTCACATGAACGTGTGATGCTGCCATTCCCAAAGCCAAGCGCGTCTCGAAGAGCCACTATGGTAAACGCGATAGGGGAGAAATCGAAGCCATAGGGTGACGTTTCGTTGAATTCGCAGCATACGAACTTCATATTCACACCTCTTTTTGTCTAAGCCGTGTTTCAAGCTTTCACAAGCAGTTATCAAACAAACACCTTGACGAATTAGTGTGGTGAAAATATCTAAGAACACACACGTTGGAAAAAAGAGGGCAAATGAAATGTATGACTTTCATAGTGGTGAGAAGGTAGTCAAATGGGACTTTTCCTACAGGGTCAGCAAATTCTAATTAAAATCCTGAGCCGTTCAGAAAGATTTCGCCAAAACTGGTATTACTTATCAATTTGTATTCATCTGATGCCACAATACATGAGAATCACAAAAAGGTAAGACACTCCCCCTAGCTCATGAAAATGTCCTGGGGTTGGAGCAATTGTTTTGCTAGAGCTTCAGTGTTACATTAGCCATATAACATTTCGTAGCAAAGTATACTCAATCAAGCAGCACAAAGTATGCTCACTTAAGCAGGTACCAGGTGTATACCGTTCACACCGATGTGTACATTTACATCGCACCTACACTAACTGGTTAATGCTTACAACATTTATGAGAGAACTCCTTAACACAGGTGACGAACCATGTGTTAATTGGTGGCACCCAACGCCACGCCGCAATGCTCGCATCGGACCCAGCGCTAAATAACGCTGCAAGGGAACATGAGTAACGCAACACCAGCGGTCTCGCCTGTCTCTAACACGCACCTTCACCAGGCTGTTGAGTCCCAGCGCGGTGGTTAGGGCTCCACCGGTCGCCAACACGTATGACGTGCCCAGCTGCCTGCGAGCGGCACAAAACGCCGATGTCAGCTCACAAACGCACGTGAAACGTTTTACACGTTAGTGAGAGGTGATGTACCAAATAGGCCGATGGCTTACTGTTATGCCTGACACCACTTCACGTTAAGTTATAGTCTGGCGGGGATAAACGATTAATCAATGCCTTCAAGGGGCCTCTGGCGCGGTGCCCATAGCAAACGGTGACCGACGCGAAGGCAACAGCACACATCTTGCCGCACCGCAGCTCCCGTTTTCGATGACGACTCAGTCTGGTTAGTGATGGGCAGCTTGGACTAGTTACATTGATATTCACTCTGCAACAGCAAACTAAATGCAGATCCCTTTCAATGGCAAACAGTCGTTTTCAAGCCATCACAACAGAAACATGCGTCAAAAGCCAACGCAGAATAACCGTAACTGACTTGGCGGAGATGGGCGAATCGCCGCTGCGGTTTGTGTAGTTAACCAGAGCGTTGAAAGACTGGTTCACCCACTGCCAGAATACCACGGCCGGGGTGGTCCTGTGAAGACGAGCAAATGTTTGGGACACTTAAAGCAGTCAGAGAACAAAACATCTCACTGAAACAACACTGAATGACACATCCAGCTCGCATCATTTATCATATATTGGACATTGGGACCAGCACCTCAAACTGTGGGGCAGCTGATGTATCTGTACCATCACTTGCTTGAATTATGCACACAATATATATATATATATATATATATATATATATATATTATATACATATATATATATATATATATATATATATATATATATATATATATATATATATATATATACATTATATAGATCAATATCAATACATAGAATCATCACAGCCCTATGAGTTGCATTCACCTCAAAATACAGGGGCTGGTTTTCCTAAATATTCAGTGACATGAAGACACTAAAATAAAACAAACTTGACATTTTGTCCCCAAGAAACCGATATCAACCAAAACAAACCAACACGGGTCACAAGCCAAGTAGGACAAAGCTTATTACTGAGCAGGCAAAAGCCTAGCCCATAATAGACAGTGCAAGGCAAAAGCCTATGGACATCGGGCAGCTTCACCCGATGCACCGACTGCTATGCAGTTACTCATCTGGGTGTGGCACTCGCCTGTAGAACGTCATCATGCAGCCGGTGATGGACATGTTGCAGGGCACCTGCGCCGACATGCGGCCCACCAGCAGCATCTTCTCGCCCGTGTCCGGGTGGAAGGCCGAGTCGTACAGCGTCTTGGCCCGCCATAGGTCGTCGGTGGATAGCTTCAGCTGCTCACCAGCCCTGGTCAAGAGAGCAGACGCCCGGTGTTACAGCCCACACTGCGCATCGCAACGCAGCACACAAACCACCCCAGCAGAGCAAGCAAATGGTCACTGGACACTCACTGGGGCAACATACATCAACAGGCCACTCTGTCAATGACTCATCAACAACAACTTGATGCCTCTTAGTCTTGTGACAAAAACTTAACAGATGGACTTCAGCCATTAATGTTTGGGAAGTGATCAGCACAACATAGGTCACCTATCTAAACAGGAGCTGGATGAACGTGACACTACTCGCCTCTGCATTTGCATATATGAGCAGCCAACCAGAGTTGTTGTGTCTGTGCCTGCAATTCTTGTACAGGGAAGGTTGGGGCTTTGAATGTACTTAACATTCCTCAACAGAATGGTCCAAATTGCCATGCAATATCAAACAGCTGACTGATGGTAAGTGATGAGGCAACAAGCTAAGACAAATAAATGCTTGAAGACAATAAAAAGAAGAATCCAATGTTGTGACATAAAATATTATCTGTGGGATCTTATGTGGAGGTAGCCACCATCAAAGTGCCCATATGATCTTCATAAATTTGAACAAAGTTACAAGTAACCAAAGTTACCTGGCAACTCACCTATATTTAGTCACAATGTCTTTGGCAGCATCAAGCTCAGCAGAACTTGCAAACACATTGAGAGGATTGGTGATAATTAAGAAGTGTTTAGCACGACCAAGATATGTGCTCTGGTCCCATCTTGGGGCATCCAAATTTATTTTCTCCATTGCTTCCTGCTGACCTGAAAGCTGAACATATGGCACATAAGTATACCAGCAGGGCCAAACATATGACATAGCAACTGACTATTGTGTGTGGCAGCTATGTACATTTGCATCTCAACAGATGGTTCTATGATTCCAGACTCACCAAAGGGGGGTAAGTCTGAGATCTGAGACACTGTCACGACACCAAGGGGATCACGCTGGCATGGAAAGACTTGTGCTCAGTGGCCTGAGGGCTCAGACATGCACTTGCTTTGTATGCAGTCCATGACAGGCAGGAGCAAATATAGAGTTGGGTTAGAATGTTATAGATGTCTGGTTTTAAACTTCAGGTAAGCCGCTTCATTAAGTTGTATTGGAAAGTTGCACCTCGTATTACCTGACCTGTCCTGGCAACATACATATTCCAGTTATGGTTTGTTGGGAATAGATCACCATTAGGCCCTCACATCTGAAAGCACAGCTCCAGGTGATAGACCTCCTTATGATAATCCAAAATGGGTGCATCTGCAGGATTTTGAAATAGGCAGAGCTAACACATTTAGTTCAAAACAATGTGTTGTGCTAAACAAAACATTTTGACACATACCATGAAGGAAAAACTTCTTGACTGGTATAACTGACCTTCCTGGGTTTTAATCTTTTTAATTTTACATGACTTGCTCTATCTTATGGCTGTGGACATTTATTTGCATGCACATCAATGCATGTATAAATTTAGTAAAGGAGTAAGGACCAAATGCCCCATCTTGAACACGCCATGCTCCTAAACATTCTGGAGGTATCTGAAGTAAGGGGCAAAAATATAACTGATTAACCTAGGTTTGGCATAAGAAGAGTTGAGGGCTAAACAACAGGACACCATAGCAGCCAATATCTATGGGACAATCGATATCAGTCAATATTCTGCTCTGAATGGAGATAGCAGCCTGCTGATTATTGGATGAAAATGCTGCTGAAACAGCTAAGAGTCTGGATTACTATTTTATTCATCTACAGGCTATAGAACAAGTTCAACTATATAAAGTATAAACCTGACTTACACCACCTCAACAGCATTATTTTAGGCCCAAGTGGCTCTATTCATTTCACACATGCCAAGCACCATAGTGCACAAAGGGACCATCCACGAGTCTGTTTCTGCAGTCATATCTAAAAGAGAATGAGAGGAGTTTAATATGTTGGATGGTGCACTATACCTCTGCCCGCTGGACCACCCAGATGATGCATAATGACTGACAACTCAGACAATTAACAGAAGTAATGGAATAAAAAAATGTTTTATAGGTTGGAAATTAAAAATCCAACATGAGCTTTAAAATCCCCAGAGTTTGGAAAATAATTAAGTGCCAAATGAGAGAAAAAGGTTATTTTCATTCATGTAGCTTCTTATAGCTGCCCCCCAACTAAACTGCTGGTGTGAACAAGAAGCTATGACCACAGAAGCTATGACCACAATGCATGAGGCTTCATATCACATTTCATCATGGTATCACCTGTGATTTCTACCTTGCAGCTGACAATGCTTTTCAGAGCAGGGGTGGAACTTTGATTTTTCATTTGGGGGGCAGGGGCTAAAGCCCATAATCCTTACCCATCCTTCTTCCGAGGTACATTTCTTTAGACTTTGTCCACATAATTCTGTGGCCATGATCATAACTTTACCTTATCATGAAAAATGACCTTCAGCTCCTGGTTTTCAGCATTATGAGTTCAAAGTTATCATGCTGTGCCAAAAAGTTCAACACATCAGGAGATACTGGTAAAATGCCTCAGTTCTCAGCAACAATAATCTTCACAGCAATCCATCTTACAAGTTGTGGTCATCCTCAAGAGCTCATCTTTTGAGATGCAGAGGAAGGTAGATGGCAGCTAGTGTCTTAGTTATGTTTTTTGTAGTCATCACATGGATTCTAAATATGGGATATAACAACTTCTCATTAAGTTTAGTTTAAATATGGATTATTTGCTTGTGAAAGTCAATTTCACATCCAAATCAAACAACTCAGATCTCAGAACTGGCACTGATTGCTATGGAACTTCAGCACTGGATTCACCACTGATTCAGGAATCTGTGTCAGGTCAATGCACCATTCTTTTTTTTAAAAATCCAAATTTTCCAGGCAGACAGCCACTTTTCATAACAACCACTAAAACTACTGTAAAACGTACCATTCAAGGCTAGATTCAAGGCATTTTAATCCATCTGATAGTGATTCTGTCCCACCATGTACTTCTGAGCGAAGATACCCTCAGGACGTCACCCCAGGTTCATTTTTAACGCCGGTACGGCCGCACGCGTGGTAACAGACATGAGCGATCGCATGTATTACGTGTTTCGTGCATCTATGATAAGTACGCAGTTGCACATAATTTTCAAGGTACTTCAAGAACAGAGGTAGTAATAAAATACCCACGAAGCAAGCTTTTCAGGGACGTCCCTTAGTATATCCAGATAAGCACTCGGCGTGAGGCACGACACACATCCTCGAGAACATTTAGTACAAATCTTACCAAGGTCGTGTTCGATCTGTCGTCAGCGCGTTTGTCAGCACCAATCACGGTCCAGTATTCACCTACGTCAAATCCTGTGATCACCGAGACATATGACTCATGACGTCACACTTGGCTAGCTTATGCCAGGATTTTTGGGCTCTGTTCGATTTGTTCTCAGCACGATTGTCAGGTGGACTGCATGACGTCATGCATGCCGACGGTGCGTTCGATGTGTGGGCTTACTGGAAAGTTTCTGAACTATCCTTTCCCTTCTTTCCTTACCCTTACTTCATACCACACACTAACTCTGGCTTACCGCCGACACACTACGTACAAAGTGGTGTTTGGAAGTGTGGCCCCTGTTCCGATGTTACCATCATTATTCCATCCGCATGTTGAGTGTTTCTCCCCCATTTCCAGTTATTTCAATTTGGCCCTCTCATTTTGAATGTTTTTTGTAACACTACTAATTTACTGTAACGCAACTATACACCCACCAATGACTGTCACTCTTTTCATGGGTACTCTTGGCATTTTAATTCCCTCCCTCTTTCTTAGTTGCATGACCCCCAAATTAAGACACAAGGGCGCCACCTTACATAGCATACTCGCCAACGCAAGTCCGAAGTCAAACTCTCCCCGCTGTGATTTTTAACACAAAATCTGATAGCGCTTTCTCTCCATGTTGACGGGCTGACAAAAACCCGGCGTCGTCGGGCGTGATGTAACAGGCGGCATGACTTTCTGGTCATGTCACGTAGGTAAATACTGGACCATGATTGGCGCCGACAAACGTGCTAACGACAGGGCGAACATGGCCCGTGGGTGTGTGTGGTGTGTGTGTGTGTGTGTGTGTGTGTGTGTGTGTGTGTGGTGTGTGGTCTGAACTAAAAGGTAAATTAAAAAGGAAAAGTAAAGAAAAAAGCTTTCCCGTCAGCCCACCTATCGAACGCTCCGTCAGCATGCATGACGTCACGCCCTCCAGCTGATCATCGTGCTGGATCTGTCGGGAGCGAATGCACCGTCAGTACACATGACGTCACGCCTTCCAGCTGACAATCGTACTGACGACAGATCTGGGCGCAAAGTGACCATTGCAGTCGACGCCCCCCAAAACACCAATAAACAACAATAGACGACAGATCGAACGGGCACTGGAAAGCCTGCAAAGTAGTGATGTCTATTTGGAGAGTATCGTTCCGCTGCACAAAAAAACATTTTGAGGTTGAATTATTTGAAGTTTTCACTTTACAGCAGCAGGGCAAATTCAAGTAGCCAAAATCCAGGGGAAGTCAAGTGTGGGTTAGGTTAGGTTAAGCTTTAGGCTGAGCCACTATGATTTAGAGTGATGCCCTTGGGTGGCTCTTCAAAAGTTAAAGTCAGAGTAATGAGTTCACGCTTAATTCTTGGTCTTTACCCTCAGAAAAATCCTGGCCGTGTCCCTGTTCTGTTCCAACCTAACCACTAGAACCAGCAACTGCAGTCTCCATTTCAAACACTTTGGACAATCTTTTGAGAGAATTGTCTTGAAAGCTGTAGAAGAAAATCAGCTGATGTAATCATGAAAGAACTGCTTATGTGGCAAGCTGATAATTTTTTTTTGTCTGGTTGGAAAACTTCATATGTAGTTGCCGGCAAGAGGATGGGTGACAGAATTTGCATTTTGATAGCAGACAGTGATGATACTTATGAACAGACAGGATAGCATAGTTTGTCTTAAAGAGTGTATTTAAAATCAATCAAACACTGTGCTGGAGGACTGACTGGGAGGCCAGGTTCAAAGAGACTGTGGTGCATTATAGAAAGAAGATGTCATGCTTTGACATTGTTTTTAGGCACGTGCACGGTCTTAGGCCATGTGCATGGAGTGAAGATGGATGGTTTCTAGCATTTAATGCTAGTTTACCAAGTATTGCATAATGCATGAGAGTGATTGATATGTGGCCTTGGATATGAAGGTAGTGTCAATCTTTATTTTACATGCATAGAGATGCCTGCCTGGTCTGGCCATAGAGGACAGCAGCTGTAGTATTTTGAGTATCTTGGCTGGTTAATTCCTTCAATATTTAGAAAAATAAAGCACTCACTTAACATAACTGGTGGATGGATGGGAGCAAATCAGAATTCCTCTGAACCCCACTATTCAGCAAACTCCAGTACTTCAGCATCACTTGAGAATATCATGGGAGTGTGAGTGGTAAAAAGTATGTGTGTACTGCACAAAGTTATAGAATACTGCTGTTGTTGACAGGAAATAATTCCACTACTTTTAGCAGCATAGATTTGCTGATAGGAGTGAAAAAGCACACTCTTACATGGTATATTTCTCACGTATCCTTAAATCAGTCTTACTGCCTGACATGCCTCAATTGAGCATGGCAAGATCCTTAGACCTACAGAACTTGTCCAACAGTTTAAATGCTCAGAGGACTTCCTGCAATGTATTTAGCAGCCCATTCTAATGATCAGTCCTGTTTGACTAAATGACATCTGCCTCTTCTAGTTCT